TGTGCATTTTTTATTGTGACTACACATTGAAGTGCCCACCGCAGTGATTACAGCTGCCGAGATACTGCATTAACATGTAAAGCGACCGTTTATCCAGCTCTACTCGGGTACATCGACACGACGACTCAGGCTCACATGTGCGCGAGTGCCGACCGCCACGTGTCTTACCGGCTCACGGGCTAATCATCACGAGGAGGGCAATTAATATAACTGCCTCGCCCACTCACAAACGATATACAAAGACTTCTTATACAAAGACTTCTTATGTTTAGTGAACTCCGAAAGACTGCCCACCACTCTCAGGTCAGACTATATATATCTATTCTCGCATTAAAGGTGCGTTTAGATGGGAGCGTCGAGCGTCGAGCGTCAAGCGTCAAACACGCGCGCAGCACCCTTGCGCAGCTGTCTAAACGTGCAGATTTCAGCGTCTTGACGCTAATAAAGTGGCTAGTGACTAGTGACACGACTCGATAAAGGCCGAGTCGCGCTTTTGCTGATGCAATCACAATTTCCACTCAGACTTTGCTACGCAATTGTTAAACTTGTTAAACTTTGTTAAACAAACAGTGGCAAATCTGGCCGTATTGTCCGCTGAAAAGCGGCAGGAACCAATATAAAATAAAAAGAAGAAAACTCGATAAACGTCGTAGAGGTAAAGAGATTATATATTGAAAATTTATATTTATTCATATTTCGTAATAAATATTAATATTATTGATAATTAATATTTATAGAATTTCACACATGGCACATATTAAAATATAATCAAGTATTAAAAGATTAATTTTTAAAAACTTTTTTTACGTTCTCTTATAATAATATATATATATTACACATATATTAATATAAATTTTATATAATATAAAATAATACAATATAAATAATATATTAATATAAATTTTATGATCACTATAATTTCAAGCATATCTTATTTTACAGCTTTATTTCTAATCTGACGGCTCCAGTTGTTGATGCTGAAGGGCATCATCAGTTTGCTGATTATATACACGATTTCACATATTTTAAGACAAGATGTCATTTAATTATCGGTTACATCAGTGGGTATTACAATGCAATAGCATTGTTAATCAGCACTATCAGGAAAAAAAACAAGCAGAGTTAGTTGCAGCAATTTCAATGATTGCAAATATAATCAAATCAAAAAATAAAAGGAAAAGAAGATGCTGGATTTCAAAAGTATTTGCAGAAAGACAGAGACATGGATTTTATCATGCAGTACTTCCTAATATTAGGTTGGAAGATCTTCGTTTCCGAAATTATACGAGAATGACACCGATACAATTGGAAGAACTGTTGTCAATAGTAGGACACGATTTAAAAAAACATTATGTTGTGCGTGAGCCAATAAATGAAGAGCAACGTTTAATAGTAACTTTAAGGTAAACTCAAATTAACAATATTTCATTGTAAATAACATGTAATTAATGAAATTTAATAATTGTACATATTAGAATGGTTTAGGTTGTTATAATTGTTGTATTTCTTATAATGCTAACAGATATCTTGCCTCAGGAGACAGCATGGTATCATTGTCATATCAATTTTTAATATCTGTAAGCAGCATTACAAATATTATACGAGAAACATGTTCCGTTATATGGGAGCATTTGTATCCTATTGTGCTTTCACAATGTGATACAAACGACTTGAAAGAAATCGCGAACGACTTTGCGAATAAATGGAACTTTCCTCACTGTGTTGGTGCGATAGATGGGAAACACATCGTTATTCAAGTAATTGTTAAATTATAAAAGATATGTATATAGTAACTCTCAAATTGAAATATAAAATTATACAATAATAATATTTTTTCAGTGTCCAGACAACGCAGGATCAGAATATTATAATTATAAAGGCAGTCACAGCATTATATTACTCGCAATAAGTGATGCTAATTATATTATACGTTGCGTTGACATTGGTGCCCCTGGGAGGCAGGGTGATGCAGGTCTTTTCAAGAATAGTGCTATGGGCCTGTTCTTAGAAAGAAAGGAATTTAATCTTCCTTTACCCGAAGCATTATATGAAGATGGTCCAATTTTGCCATACGTATTAATAGGAGACGAGGCATTTCCGTTAACTGATTATATGATGCGACCATATCCAGGAAAAAATGGAATGACATTAGAGAAACGCATTTACAACTATCGTTTATCTCGAGCTCGAAGAACGGTTGAGAATGTTTTCGGCATTTTAGCCAGCCAATGGCGACTTCTGAGACGACCAATTTTAGCAAAAGTACCAAATGCAATAAAAATGATTCAAGCAATCGTCTGCCTTCATAATTGGCTGAGAAAGCATGATGTTGAGCGAGAAACGTATATAACACAACAACTTGTAGATAGGCCTGTAATAGATGGAGATATTGAAAACGGCTCTTGGAGACAAAATGTTGAAGATTTTCGTGCATATATTAACATTAGATGTACTCAAACAAGAACATATTCGTTACGCGCAGCTAACATTCGCGAAGAATTCTGTAGATTCTTCAATGAGGAAGGAGAAGTTGGTTGGCAAAATATTCAAATATACAAGTAAATAAATAAAATTTGGTAATTTATTATGATTCTATATCATTTCACATAATGTTTCATGTACATTTAAGACAGAGGTTACTTTTGTAAATAAATTTATTCGCAACGTGTGTAAATAGTCATACTATTATAATACATGTGCACATGTGTATAGTAAATAATTTATGACTACTATAATGTATATTTTCCTATCATCTATCGTTAGACAATCATAAAAGTATTATTGCGGTAACTAAATATTTTAAAGATAAGAATAACATGCTCCATAAAAACGAAAAATATTAGAAATATCAATGTTTTACAAAAATTATAATCTATATCATATTTGACAATAAACTATATATATATATAATTTAACGTCAAAATATTTTTAAATAACATTGAAAAGAGGAACATTTGTCAGTAAAATCTAAAGTTATACTTAAACATAAAATAAACATCAAGTTGTAATACTGTGTGATTTTACTTTACGTGACATAAATAACGTCTAATTATGAAATAAAAAAATTATACTGTAATATAATAAGAGTAACGTTGTTAAAATATTAAAATTATACCTGAAAATTATATTTATAAAAAAGAATAAGAAAAGAAACAAATATAAGAAAGTAGGAACATAGCAATTGCTAATGTTACAAAAAAGAATATAAAATTATCCACGTTGGTTTTGTTCTTCTTTAGCAATATCTTGTTGAAATTTCATTAATAGCATATTCTGCTTTTCTTGACTAAGTTTGAGCAATCGTTGTTTTATGTATATAAACATACCATCTAATGCATCTATTTCTGACAACTTTGGCAGGTTTATCACAGGATTATTGTCTTTGTTACAAAATGCTTTAGCTATACGATTAATTGATGAACTTAAATCATCATGAGCTTTAGCCCGATGTTTAGCAGGGGGTTCATCTAAAAAGGAATTGTTTGATATTTCTTTAATGTATATGAATTAACTGAACATTTTATTAAAAGATCGATCAGAGGTCAGCAAATAATAAAGAAAAACTCTGTAACAATATTAATACCTTCAGTATTTTTACGTTTTTCCATGTTGTCTGAACTGTTCTCCTCGAGAAGATTTCTGTTGGACTCAATAATTGGAACCGTCAGATTAGAAATAGAGCTGTAAAATAAGATATGCTTGAAATTAGTGATCATAAAATTTAAGATATATATACTACTTTAAGAGTTGTACATAAAAATTGATATATACTTTCTGCTTCTTGATACCGAACGTAAGAAGGACATTGCTTCAAAATGTTTCCACGTTTTTTGTGAACATGATCTAGCTGACCCACTAGGTTTTTTCTCTTCAGCCACTGCTTTACTGTAAGTGTCTTTAAGCGATTTCCATCTCTTTTTAGCATCTTCAGGACTCAAAAGACCTAATACATTTGTTAAAACATACTTTTAAAATATTTAATGTAACCGATGCTTTTCTTTGATAACTTAGGCTTATGTAAAATATAATACATACCATGAAGAGCATCAGAAATCTCTTTCCATAACTCTGCAATTTTGTGCCAACCACGGGCAGACAAAGGCAGTTTGTAATCGTATAAGGGCGGTCTGTTTCTTACTTCTTCAATCAACATTTCTTCCAATGCACTTTTATCTAATGTTGTGGAAAATGATTGTTGTGAATCATTTTCTGAAATATAGCAATCATTCGTGGGTAGATCAGACTCAGCTTCTACTTCCTTGTTCATTCGTATTACTTCTTTAAAAGAAAACTGACTATTTGGTTTATTATTAATTAAAGCAAGTTGTTCTTGATTGTCACATATCACTTTTGCCAAATATTCCCCTTTTTCTGCAATGTTGTACAAAAGTATTAATTATAAGTTTTTTAAATAAGTGTATGAAACTTATATATCATATAAATAAATTAATTATAGCCCTTACGATTAGTAGGATAAAACATTTTGGCATTTGTATCAATGGTTATACTATACCAATGTTGAACACATTTGTGATTAAAAATCTCGTTTTTGTTCACTTTGGACATACACACCCCACAAGTTGATGCCTATGAAATACAATGTTACAAAGAATTCAAACATATAGGAAAAGTATAAATGGATAGGATTGTGTATTTTATAAGAGAATGTACTAAAAAATTTATGAAAATTAATTTCTTAATGCTTGGTTAGGTTTTAATATGCGCCAATTATGAAATTCTATGGTAAATATTATCAATAATAATAATAATATCTATTACGTAATATAAATAAATATAAATTTTCAATGTTAATAGCGTATATAACCTCTTTACCTCTACGGCGTTTATCGAACTCGTGTTACTAGCCATTTTGCGTCAAGACGCTGAAATCTGCACGTTTAGACAGCTGCGCAAGGGTGCTGCGCGCGTGTTTGACGCTTGACGCTCGACGCTCGACGCTCCCATCTAAACGCACCTTAAAGACGGCTCAGACTGTGTTCTGAGTTACATTTTATATTACAGAATAATTATTAACACTTTCTACGCGCGTCCTTCTCATCCCGCTTCCATCGCCGGGATTAATCAGCAATTTCGCGAACATTTGGTCCCTCGAGCCGGATGCGTGGAACTTAAAGTGTAGCTCGGACACAGATCATGTGAACAGGGCATGCCTTTCACGACATGCCACGTGGACATTATCGCGTGCTTTTGCGAGTGAAGTACAGACATTCTCACGCGCGCTTGCGAGTGTTACACAAACATGTTTACGCGCTCCCGCGAGTGTAAATAGACATTTTCACGTGCTCAAGACATGACCTTAACGACTCTCGATTCGCATAGTGTTTTTCTCACGCGTCTCTCGAACGTTCTCGGTTCGTGCAGCATTTCTTACACGTGTCTCGACATTTCTCAGGTATTTCATCGTGCGCAGCTCAAGGACGGCTCAACATGACGGAACCCGAAAAGGCGGGTACGGGCAGTAAGGAGACCACGACGCCGCTGCTCGAGGTACCACGGGTCGCACATCGGGACGCCAAGCCTCACCCGTGCGCTTGTCCACGGAGCTCATCCTAAATGAACAGATTGGCGACGGTGCGGAATACTGGCGAGACGCCACCATCGTGTGCAAAGGGCACATCATTAGAGAAAACTTTCCACATCTCAATGCATCTCGAGAAGGTGCATAAAGCGTTTTTCAAGGAGCACGCATATTTTGAAGTTACTTGGCCGGCGGCGCTCATACAACATGAATGCTTAAAAACAATGTTCACTCCACGACGGCGCTATTACATGGCTGCACGTCGCGTTATTGCGTTATCAAGGGCGCATATCCAAACCATCGCAGTCCTCGCGTGACAATCAGCGGCTGCTGGACATCAACATCCCGTCGTTCAAGGCCGTTATCTACGACAACCGACGCCTCACCGACGTAGAAAACCTTCGTTATCTGCAACTCTCACTTGAAGGCACACCCGCTCAGCTCATCTCCGGACACAACGTCCGCTCATGTAAAGGCTCACGGGGGTGCAAGAAGTGCACCAACCGACATCACACGATGCTGCATGAGGCTTATCAGTCGAACTCATCAGCGAAGCCAACCACCAGCTCAACGGCGACAACTCAATAGGAAAATGGTGCAATCGTTGCTCACTTCTCTTTGGCCCGCTCACCACACTCAACATTACTCGCTACGACTTTGGCTCAGATCAGCTCATCAATTAATACTCAGCGGGTACGGTTTCTCATCGATTCAGGTTCAGAACTTACATTTGTTTCAGAATCTCTCGCTCGTCAGCTCAACATTACTCGTCATCATTCCGTCATTCTCATCACTGGAATTGGTGGCAGAAAGGCGACGCAAACTTGAGGAGTTGCATTGCTTAAGCTCCGCTCACTTCACTCAAGATTAGACGTCATTATTCAAGCTCACATTCTGCAGACGTTAACGAACATCCTGCCATTCTTCAACACTGCACCACAGGAATGGCCGCATCTCACCAAGTTGACCTCGGCTGATCCAGATTTCCTAACACCACGGCCAGTGGATATCATCATTGGAGTTGACTCATATGGGCAGATTATCAAGCCCAACATCATCAAACGAGATATATTGATGCCAATTGCCCAGCTCTCAATTTTCGGATGGCTCGTTCTCGGACCTGTCAATACATCATCATCGGCAATTGCTACCGTGCATCATGCCTTCGTGCAGGAAAGAGAAGATGCTCTTGACGACTTGCTGGCGAAATCTGGACACAAGAAGTGCCTGCGAGCAACAATCTTGATCTTACTCCTAACGAGCAAAGATGTGAAGAACATTTTAAGAGTACTGTTTTACGGGATTCAACAAGTCGATACACAGTTCGACTTACACTGAAATCATCACTTGATACTCTTGGCGATTCGTATCTCACTGCGCATCGATGTTTGAAAAGTTTACCAAGAAGACTCTCACGAGATGACAACTATCGACGTCTGTATCATCAGTTTATGACAGAATATCGAGAGCTCAATCACATGAAGAAGGCTTCACCCGTTTCCAGTCAGCACACACAATATTATTTGCCACATCACGGAGTGCTCAGACCAGACAGTGCAACCACAACATTACGTGTAGTATTTGATGGCTCGAGTGCATCTACCAGGAACCAAGCTGCATTACAGCACCTAGACATTAGATGTTTTGCTCTGGATTCGACAATTTCAACACTTAGTGGCCACTGACATCACCAAAGGGTATAGGCAGATCAACGTGCAGGAAGATGACTGAAAACAACGGACTCGCTGGATAGATGAACAACTCAATGAAGTGCCATATCATCTAACAACGGTCGATATCTTGATGACAATTCTGGAGGCGACGACACCGTTCAGCAGGTAGTCAATACTGCTCAACGGACTTGTGCATAGCGGGCGGCTTCCTATTAGCAAGGTGGCACGCGACTCATCAAGACGTACTCACTGCGGTTCAAGCAGAAAAAGACCAGGGCTCACAAATTACATTTGACGATTGCGTAACCAAAAGACTCGGATTACGATGGCTTTCTCAAGAAGATTCATTCACATTCTCAACAAGGATCTCGTCGCACACCGATCATCTCACCAAACGCCTCGCTTGGTCTGAAGTGGCTCGGATACTCGATCCACTGGGCTTTGTATCACCAGTGGTGATCAAGGCGAAGATGCTCTTGCAGGAGCTTTGGCTACATGAAGCTCCAATGGGGTGAACCACTGCCATCCCAGCTCTCATCACGGTGGCTCATTATCAGAAAAAAACTCACAAGCTTGCAAGCTCTCAATACCTCGGTGGTACATTCAAGGTAGCACCTCTCAAACCACATGGAGTACCTCGTCAGTGGAATTTCACGGCTTTTCTGATACTTCTCAACTGGCAATGGCTGCAGTCGTATTGATCACCGTCCACGGCTCTAATGGCGCCACGACTTCATTGGTGTGCTCCAAAACCAAGGTAGCACCGCTCAAGCGGCTCACCATCCCGAGACTTGAACTCACCGCAGCACTGCTGCTCTCAAGACTCATGCAATACGTTCAAGCTACCTTGAAGTTGAACGTCACAGCAACTCACCTGTGGACGGACTCTGTTGTGACACTCACGTGGATCAAATCTCATGCATCGCGCTGGAAGGATTTTGTAAAAAATCAAGTTTCTCAAATTCAAGAGCTCACTGCGAACGCACATTGGAAATACGTACCGGGTACGTCCAACTCAGCCGACTGCGCATCACAAAGATTAAGTACTGCTCAACTCCAAAGCCACTCATTATGGTGGACGGGACCACCGTGGATACTCACCCTTGAAGCATGGCCATCATAACCCGCGCTTTCGGACGAGTTGAGCGCGCATGAGGCTCGTCCTGGCATTGCGCTACATGCGGCCGCATCTCAACCGGACTATCACTGGGACCTGATATACACGTACTTAACCCCAATAAATTATTGATAAATTATTGAAAATAATAGCTCTCTGTTTCAAGTTTATCGCTTTCTTGAGAGGGTTCTGGGACGGGTCGTTGGACTCGCACTCTGCTTTGGAGAAGGCCAGATTATTCTGGATTAAGGCTACTCAAGCGGCATACTTCACGCACGAGATCAAGATGCTCACGGCCAACTCGAAACTGCCAACTGCTCGCGCATTCAATCGATTGACTGCGTATATAGACGCTCAAGGGATCATCCGAGTTAGCGGCCGCCTCAACCAATCAGCACTAGCTCAAGACAACAAACATCAGGCGATTTTGCCTCGCCACTCACGGTTCTCAACCCTGATCATTGCACACGCCCATCTGCGTACCCTGCATGGAGGAACACAGCTGACATTGGCTCATGTCAGGCAACAATACTGGATCATCGGCGGACGGGCTCCGGTGAAGTCTCATATTTTACGGTGTGTCGTGTGTGCTCGGCAGAGGGGGATCCGTGCTCATCAACTGATGGGCCAACTACCTCTCTCTCGGGTTACGCCGTCACGTCCGTTTACTCATACAAGAGTTGACTATGCCGGACCGCTCACCATCAAAACATGGAAAGGACGAGGTGCGAAAACATACAAGGGATGGATCTGTGTGTTCGTCTGCTTTTCCACCTCCGCAATTCACCTCGAAGTAGTCAGTGATTACTCATCAGAAGGATTCATAGCAGCCTTCCGAAGATTCTCAGCCAGAAGGGGAATTGCTCAGACCATGTATTCGGACTGCGAGACAACATTCATTGGAGCAGACGCCGCGCTCAAGAAAATGTTCATCCAGAGTTCCCAAGAACATCAACGAATCGCTCAAATTCTACAACATAATTGCACCAGATCACACCAGGTCATTTCCTCATTGGAGGTCCAATCACTACCATACCCGAGTCATCTCTGATTGACCTAGCAACCTCACGACTATCTCGGTGGCAGCTCATCCAGCAGCGTGTTCAACATTTTTGGGCACAATGGTCGGCTCATTATCTGCAACGCCAGCAGGCGATATCCAAGTGGCATTATCCTAACAACAACATCAAGGTGGGTTTCATCGTGCTGCTCACCGACGAACGCTCTCCACCGTGCAAATGGCCACTCGCCAGAGTAACTGCTTTGCACCCCGGCAAGGATGGACTCACCAGGGTGGTTACCCTCAAGACGGCCACTACGACACTCACTCGGCCAAGTGCCAAGCTTGCCATATTACCCATTTCAACCGGATGAAGGATCAAGAGTAAGGAATCATCAACAAGGTTGCTGATGGCGGGCGGAATGTTCGAGATTCCGTTAACGCTGCGCCGTCAGATCAGATGGCAGCATCGATCGGGTAACGACGCTAGATCACCGCGGCAGCTTGCGCCCGCACGGGCGCGCTCATCGCCAACGTCTT